CACACACACACACACACACACACATACACTTGGGCGTAAGTTCCATAACTGCCACCTCTGTCTCCAAACACTGCTCACCTGTATGGTGACAATTGCCTCCAGATCCTCGTACTCTACATTGACCAGTCTGGCGGCTTCCCGCGCTCTCTCCTGTGTGTCCGCCACCACAGCCCCGATGACTTGCCCGTGACTGGTCACCTGGAAAGGGCATTCTTATCATTACTTTACGATTTGCGAAAAAGTCTGCTCAATAATTTACCACCCCAACCCCCCTCCCACCCCCCAGACAAAGACAAACAACAAACAAACAAAACAACAATAACAAAGACAAACAAACAAAAACCCAAACCAAACCAAAATATACCAAAACAAACCAAAACAAATTAAAAACAATAAATAGAAAAACAAAATAACCCCCAAAAAACAAAACAAATACGTAAAACAAAACCAAATTTTTAAATGCTCAAAAGAAAAAAAAATGCCCAGGTGCATCATTTCATGAAATGAGCTAAGGGGGTTTTATCAACATTATACTGTTAGAAAGATTAGACTTTGTCGTCCCCAAAACAAAATGTGTAAAAACAAAAAAAGATGTAACCTAATAACCCAAACAATATCATGGAAATCAAATACAAATCATGTCATTTGAAACTGAAGTTGCAAATCTGGAAGACTGATCAACAGTAAGAAAATAGACATGTACTGCGCGAAAGTGCGCGGTTGGGGGAGATATTGCTAATGATTTCTGGGTGGTAAGGTTGAAACATCTTTCTGAACTAAAAAAAAAAAAGAAAATTACAGGGAAAGTAAAAGAAGCAATAAAGGCTGCATTAATATTGGTGGCCTAATTAATGAATCGTAGAACTGAAAGAGTCAAATGCCGCATGAAGAGTTATTACTTTCTTGTTGTTGCTGTTGATTTTTTAAAAAAACATTTAAAAAAATTTTTTTTTTTTGGGGGGGGGGAGTAGTAATGAAATTATTTCAGAGCCTGGTGATCCACAAGGAAATTAAAAACCTTACATTACATAAGAGAAAGCAAATTATCAGATGAATGGAATGATAAATAATCTTATGAACTAATGATTAAACAAACAGATAGAAAATGGCGGGCATTGCGAAAGGAAAGAATACCTTGTCTTGAGCAAACACATGGTCCATGACATAGCTCAGCTTGTTCTCCCCGGGGACGTCTGCAGCACCGATGTAGTCTACCACTCCAGGGGAACGCAGGGCGGCTGACGGATCAACTGACAGGATCTTGGCGTGGGCTCTGGTGCTGGTCACCAGGTACATGTGCAGCTCATCTGGGACAGGGGAGAATGGATTGTTTCATGAGTTTGTATCGAGACGAGCGCCTGCGCCTGTTTCATTCTTTCATGTGTAAGGTAAGAAGGAGAAGTGTTATGGTGGTGCTGAAAGGTATACAACCGAGTCTTTTTTTCTTCAATGAGAGATCCAGACAAGTTAGTGGGATGGTGGGTGGGAGTCCGTTATTTGTCCAATGCAATGGACGCTTAAATGGTTAAGTATTGTTTGAGATCTGGCTATTTCTGTTTTTTAGGCAATTTTTTCAAGTAGTTACCAGTCCCTGTTATGTCTTAGTGTTCCTGCAGAAGAAGGATTGGTGATGTCTACGTTGACACAGGCGGATTTAGGAACAATGGATGTTACTTGAATTACAAAGAGAAGCTATACCGGCCGACAGATGAACTGAGCAGGACGGCCCAATTTATGACAGATACCAGACTTCAAGTGTGATGTGATCGAGAAGAAGAAGACTTGAATGATTTGTTGATTCAAGCAGGTCTAATCCATTGGTAAGTAAGTCTATTGTTTCAATTTTCACAGTAAACAAGAGCGTAATTTTCTGGCTTATATGTTTGTCTGGTTGGTTGGGGTGGGTTTTTTGTTTGTTTGTTTGTTTCTCAGGCCAAAAACGAGACTTGATTGTTCTCGTTTACTCACTAAATGAGGGCGCGACGACAATTCTATTGATATCATGCTGGGCTCAACTATGGATGTTTCTGATTTGAGTCCAAAACAAAGTGTAGCGTTCTTGACGTTGGGTTGTTCTGGGGAGTTATGACAAATCGTTATCTCGCTGTTCTGTGAGAGATGAGCGTCAAAGCAAGACTCATTCCTCCTAACATCTTTACATGATACAGCGATTACAGAAATGTTTATTTATACAAGTCAACATTATTTAGACCGACTGCTTGAAATGTGCAGAAAAAAGGATTTGAATTAAAAGAGACTTTAAATATGTATTGTAGAGCTTTATACTTCAGTAAAAGCAATAATGATAATAATGAATCGACCGTCAATGTCTGAAGATGACCAAAGCATCTGCAGAGGATAATATTATATTTTACGCGAATTAGAAAAAAAATTGAAAGGACTCAGATGGCGAGTTGCTTTTGCTACAACCGATGAGACCAATTCTGGCAAAGAAAAATTTGCCATCATATTTTTGAGCAATAAAAAGCTTAATTTCCACTGGTGAATGTGTGCAGCTTTCGGTCTTCTTTCTTGGCTCCAGCATTTCTAATTCATGAAGCGGAACCAGTAGTAATTAGAAAGTTCAACTTACCAGCTGCCGGCGGCAAGTCGTCCACGAACAGAGCTTGGCCTGTGCTCTGCTGAAGTGCAGACCTGTGGTGCAATGGTCGCCCCACGCACTCAAGCCCTGACTCCCGAATGTCCGTGCCTCCGTAGATCTGCATGGACTGGCTAGTGGGATGCTCCAGCTCCTCTATCGCGCTCAGTTCCGATGCAAGCTGTGGGGCAAAGAGGAGAGTCGTGGTATGGTATGAGAGATTACACATTTCCATTTCTTTAATTTTTATAATTTATCATTTGTTCGGTGTTGCACAATTTCTCCTGATGGGTTGGATGACACGATGTTTTTGTGTGTGCGTATACGTGTGTGTGTGTGTGTGTGTGTGTGTGTGTGTGTGTGTGCGTGTGTGTGCGCGCGCGCGCGCGTGTGTGTGTGTGTGTATGTGTGCGTGCGCGTGT